AGAGAGACTAAACCTGGCTTAAGCATTTGAAAAGCCAAAGACCAACCCCAGTGACAAACTTTCTCCAACAAGATAACACCTACTCCAACAAGGCTATGTCTCCTAAACCTTATCAAGTATCGCTGCTCCATAATGATCAAGCATTCAAATATATGAGTCTATGGAGCCCATGCCTATTAAACCCACCATGTTCCCTTTCTTCTTTTCCGTAAATTTTGCTAAGAAACTGAGATAAACCTGGCCCAGAATGCTTAACTTTTCCACCTAGTGGGAAAGTAATTTTTTTTAAAGTCTTCAAAAGGCTGTCATTCTCAGGCTGCCTTCTGACCCCGTTTCTCTCAGATTTCCCTAATATAGAAAACAGATTAGAAGTTTATTCTGCCAACTGCATAGCAGTTGTTCCTAAAGAACTGTGAAGAGAGGAGGAAAAGATGACTCATTGTCCTTTATTCAGCTTGGAAGAGCAAATACATAATGATAGGATCCCATCAGTGGCTGGCTCTTTGATCACCTCCCTCTGACTGGGGAGCAGCCTTACCAGGCCACAGAGGAAGGCAATGCAGTCAGGCCTGATGAGACCTCATAGGCTAGGGTCAGAGGGAAGGGGAGGAGGACCTCCCCTATCAGTGGACTGGGGGAGGAGAATAGGAGGAGAAGAGGAAGGCAGGGTAGGATTGGGAGGGGATGGGGGGGGCTACAGCTGGGATACAAAATGAATAAATTGTAATTAATAAAAAAAGAAAAACTGTCAGGAAAAAAAAGAGTTTAGATTAGAACTTACAAGAATTGAAGTTGCCAACACAGATCTGGCAAATTCCTTATTCTTTTCTTCAGTGAATCTTTTCCTAATAATCCATAGTCAGACAAAAATTTAAATGAACCTTGATTGAGAGCAAAAATAATGAAATATGATGACAACAATTCGAATGAACTATAAAAAGAGAAATGTTTAAAGGAATGGAATACTTTATTTTATATCATGGAATGCTACTTGGTCATGTTTCAAAGTTTATATAAAGGGCAAAGGAAGTAGATTGAACAGGTAGTTTTAGATTAATTTATTTCTATTTTATGTGTCTGAGTGTTTTGTCTACAAATATGTCTGTGGACCATATATGTGACTAATGTTCACAGAGGTAAGAGAGGGCATCAGATCCCCTGGAACTGAAGTTATGGATGAGAACTGAACCCACATTAACTGCAGGAGCAGCAAATACTTTAATGGCCAAACTACCTTTCTGTTACTCAACAATTTTCAGTGCATTCCTAATAAAAGAAGAGGAAGAAATATAAATAGAACTTACCAATAATTATGTTGTGTTCATATTATGAAATGGTTGAAACTGCTGTTAACGTGTAAATGTTTCTATATTGTCTTCATGAGCTCATGTTACATTTAAAAACAGAAAAGTTATTAATATTTCTAAGACTGATGAAATAAGTTAGATAGGAGAAATCATCTTTTTTTTTTCACATTGCCCAGTATACACAAACATTTTTCTTCTTAGTAATTCATTTTCCTTGTGGATACTCTTTTTTATTTTAATTTTTATTAATTACAGTTTATTCACTTTGTATTCTATCTTTTGCTCCCTCTCTCCTCCCCTCCAAATCCCACCATTCCTCGCCCTTCTTCATCCATGCCCCTCCTCTGTCCACTGAAAAGGGAGGTCCTCCTCCCTTTCCCTCTGATCCTAGTCTATCAGGTCTCACCAGGAGTGGCTGCAATGTCTTCCTCTGTGGCCTGGTAAGGCTGCTCCCCACTTAGGGGGGAGGTGATCAATGACCTGGCCCATCAGATCATGTCAGAGATAGTCCCTGTTCCAGTCAAAACGGAGGACTCTGGATAAGATGTTCAGTCCTCATTCAGAAAGGCAAACAAAAGAGGGAGAAAACAGGGTACAGTACAAGAGCCTACCACAGAGGGCCTCTGAAAGACTCTACCCTGCAGAGTATCAAAGCAGAGGCTGAGACTCATAGCCAAGCTTTGGTCAGAGTGCAGGGAATCTTATGAAAGAAGGGGGAGATAGAAAGACATGGAGAGGACAGGAGATTCACAAGGAGAGCAACAAAACCAAAAAAATCTGGGCCCAGGGGTCTTTTCTGAGACTGATACTCCAACCGAGGACCACTCATGGAGATGGCCTGGACCATCTGCACAGAGGCAGCCCATGGTAACGCAGTGTTCGGGTGGGTTTCCTAGTAAGGGGATGCTCTTTTTTTAAAGTACAAGAATATGCCATCTATTTGCAATAAAATGAGAAGAAAAACCAGCCTCGCAGCCATTAAAGCAGACAGCGGCATGATCACCAACACAAATGTTGCCTTTAAAACATTTTTAAAACTTTAACGATACATATAGAGAAATCCTGAAAATAGTTTTAAAAATTTTTGTAATACCCCTTCTTTGGAGACACACTGTGTTTCTTCCGCCATTACATACGAGGAGCTCAAGCTGCGTCTGATACAGGGGTGGCATGCATATGCCTTTGTCATGAAAAAAAAAAAAAAAGAAAAAAAAGAATGTTTGAGAGGCAGCAGAAGTGAAGTGGGATCCTGGAGGTCATCATCACACACTGTGCTCTCAGTCCTCTTAGTGAGGGTGCAGGTCTTATTTTTACCAGCTGGCAGGAAACAATGCAGACTGACTGATTTCCCCAACACAGAGCTGATGTTCACCAGCCAGTGACATGAACCAATGCTGCAAGATGGCACTTGCTTTTTAGTATCTTCTAACAAAAGTCTCTATGTTTATGCATGAAAAAAAAAGTTCCCAGGATGTGTTGTTATATGGCTCATATTAATTCATCTCCATTCTTCTCTTTCCTTTGTTTTTTCCTCTTGGTAGTTGCTAAACTTTGTAGTAATTCCCTTGGTTCAGAGGCCATAATAATGATGGGGCTTCAACCAATGCCTGGCCTACCCTAAGACGCACCCCATGGGAGAGAGCCATTCCCTTACACTGTTCATTATACTCCGCTATGCTCACAGAAAGGAGCCTAGCATAGCTGTTCCCTGAGAGGCTCCACTCAGCAGCAGGTAAAACAGATGCTGAGACTCACAGATAAACGCTGGGCAGGAGACTTGTGGAATAATAGGGGGAAAGGATAGAAGAGAATGGAAAGGAGCTCCAAGAGAAGACCAACAGTGCCAACTAACCAGGGCCCAGGGGGGCTTTCAGAGGCTGAAGCACCAACCAAGGATTATGCATGGACTGGACCTAGGCCCCCCACACAGTTGTAGCTGATGGGCAGCTCAGTCTCCATGTGGGTGCTCTAATAAGGGGAGCATGTCTCTGACATGGACTCTGTTGCCTGCTTTTTGATCACTTCCTCCTGAAGGGGCTGCCTTGCCAGGCCACAGAAAAGGAGGATGGACTCAGACATGATACAACTTGATGCACTAGGGTTGGTTGGTATGGGGGGGCTCCTCTCTTCTGAGGGGTAGGGGAGGGGAATAGGGAGAAGAGGAAGGAAGGGTGGGACTGTGAAGAGAGGAGGGAGGGGGGCTATGATTGGGATGTAAAGTGAATGAATGAATGAATGAATGAATGAATGAATGAATAAATAAGTGTAATGATGGGCTTATACTTATGTTCTTACCAAGAGGAGGTGTTTAAAATCTTACTATTTTGTCGGGAGGTCTTGGGACTTTATAAATACATTCAAGCACATTGTAAAGACAGTGACATCTCTAATTATGCAAACATTAGCTCTTTTACAGAGCTCCTACCACCTCTTATATACATTCCAGCTAAGAGCATTGTCCTCTATGAACTTAATCATTGGCCAAGGGAATGGATGGAGGTTTGCAAACTCAGGAAGCTGAAACATCAGGTTGTAGCTCTGATGCATGCATGTTTTGATATTGTCTACATGAACCCAAATTACATTTACAATGTATGGAGTCCCTTAGGCACCAATGAAGGGACAGAGAAATTCAATCCTCTAGCGGGTAGTGCTTCCTCTCATCTGTTTCACAGTTGCTCATTTCCTTGCAAGAATGTCTGCCTCACAGTCTCAGTCCAGGAGAAAGCCGATGTGGAGCCTGGGGTATGAATTAATGTTTGGCATCCATGCCACTCAGTTCTGTTCAGTGTGCTAAAGTGCCCTATGTTAGTGTCTGCATTATTCTGGCGCTTAATTCTGTGTTGAGTAGCCACTGAGTGACCATTATGAAGCATTTGACTTTACAAATTGAAATTCTGTCCTAGGTCAAGTGGTGACCCTCATTCTCATACCAAACCTTTGTCTTATGGTCACATTTCAAGACTACTGAAATGAAATAGGCTTTACCCACGAAGTTAATCCATGCCTCTCTCTAAGAAAACAATTTTAACATTTCAAATTTGACCTACTATGTTCTCGAATCAGGAAAAGAAAGAGAGTAAGAATAGAATAGAAAAAAGTGGAGTCATTTGGTACAAATCCTCCTGGGTTAGTAGATCTAGTAAAAATAGATTGATACCTTCCATTTGTTTTACTCAACTTTACATGACTCTTTAAACAAAACTCCATCCGATTACATGCTATATGGGCCATAGTTCTCCTATAAGAACTTGCCTGAATGTACTGGCAGCGGGTGATCTCCAGACTAGAAACACTTTGGCACTGTCTTCTCGGAAGGAGAAGAGAGTGACTGCTAGTGAAGCCAAGCAAGGCTGCTTGAGCTGTCCATCAGGTGGAGACCTGCTTTGCTCCCGGGAGAGGCCAGTCTGTTGTGTATGCTTTTTAAGAAGACCCTCACACAACATTTGACATTCCAAATGGAGGCAGCCAGCAAGAGAACAAGCATGCTTAGCTATACATATAGGTAAGCTGTGTTCTTGCTTATTCTTACAGATACTTCCCTAAATCTTGTATGTGCACATGCTCACACACACTGACAACAAGAACGAACACCTTGTCAATTGATCTTGGCCAGTGAAAAGAAAAATAGTTTTTCTTTCATATCGATCAGCACCTTGATGCTATGTTCTTCTTCTCTCTTTTAAATCGCAGCAGAATCAAAGAAGAAGAAAAAGGAAGGCAAGAAACAGGAGAAGATGCTGGATTAAAAGAGGCCACCTTCTGTGGACCAGGAAAAGAACATCAGCAAACAGGATCAGTTAACTATTACATTTATACCTATTGTAGGCTTTTTACTCAACAGTTATCTGTAGCTTAAGTACATGATGAGCAAAAACAAGGAGAAAAGATTTTTTTTTTGTAGTAGCATTTTTTAAAGAAAATACATACCATAGTACCAGTAGGGGCTTATAATAAAGGACTGTAATACTGTTTAGGAAGTCAACTGTAGAACATGATAGGTGTTAGGATGAGGTAAGATTCTTTTTTTTTTTTTTTTTGAATTTATGTGATGTTTCACATTTAAATTTTTTTTTGTTTGTTTTTTACATTTTTCCCCTTCGGCAGCAATTTAAAAGTTACAACCATGTAAACTACTTCTCTTCTTAGACTTTTCCCTAGACTTCCCCCTTCCCTGACAAATTGAGGAAGATATAGCCTAAGAAAAGCAGCAATAAAATGTAATTATTGTGTTGAAGAGAAACACGTTGTTTTCTGCTGGTGGATGTTTTCTTTTAAACACAGATTAGCCAACTGAGAGAAGGAAAGAGGCAGAACAACGATGAAATGCAAGGTTGACTTTTGTTTCTTAAGGAAAGCGTTAAAACATGACATTCTTTCACTTTCACTTCTTGATGAAATTATTTTTCCATCTGAGGAAAAGAATCTAGGAAAATAAATCAAAGTGATGCTGAATAAAAGGTGCTTTGTGTGCAATGATTTCATATTGTAATTCTTCTTTGTCATCCGTGATGTGAAAGTCAGTCATGCAAGCTAGTTAAGTTCCCCATGGGTACAAATGTATTTCCTTCTTTTTACTTTTCTCTTGTGTTTTGGTTTGTCATAGACACTGAACACCCTAAACACAAAATCTGAGTGTTCCAAAGCCCTAGCAGTTTTGTGCACAGACATGACCTCACACATGAAATATGCCACTCTTGGCCCCAGGGAAGACTCAGAGTAAAAATACAGGAATGTGGAAACACATTGCATAAACATACCTGGGGCTGTGTGTGCAAGGTATTTAAGAAACAAATCAAATCAATGTTTAGCATCAGACCCCATTCCCATGACATTCATCATGTGTAGCCAATTTACAAAGTTAAAAAAAAATCAAATCCTGGTGCACTTCATTCCAAGCATTTTAGATATAGGACTCTAGACTTATATCAGTATTGACTATTTCATTATAGAACTCAACAAATTTCAATAAAGTTCCAAATTAGTCTAATGTTTAATGCAAGAGAAAAGTGTTCAGCTATTGGATGAGTCTGGGCTAGCATGATACAAAACAAATCAAGGCCATAGGAACAAAATACAATATGATAGTTTACACTTATTTTCCAGAAACCAAGAATTTCTACCCTGTTATCTACCACAAATGCCAAAGAGTTTGAGGGCTCCTTCACCTGCTACCCTTAAAGCACAGTCTTGAGTAAACAGTCCCAGGGTTCTCCATTTCAGAGAAACAAAGTCTCCACAAAGTTGCTGGGTGTGGCTATGAAGTCTTGACAGTCATCCTTGACCCTGAGATAATAAGAGTCAATGAGCAAACACCTATCCAACAAGATGATTGCAATCCCAGTTTCAGAGTCGATACAGCTAGTTATGTGCGGCTGTGATGATGCAGCTGAAGGTATCTGCACCTAAACTGTGCTGGCCACCTTGTCCAAGACTCCATCTGAGCTGGAAATGCTAAGGAGTCCATTTCAGCCCCCAAGTCAAAGCCAGCCGCCAGTAGGGATCTTTAAAAGGATAAACTTGCAGGCATCTTAGATATTGGTGCTTGATAAAATCAGAGTACCTTGTGAAGCGCAACTGACAGAAACATGAATAGTAAATGTAGCTCTTTTATGTGGGGGCTTAATAGGGAAAGGTGCTCATGGAGATGGATGGAAAACAGGATAGAAAGGCAGTGTCTCAAGTGGGGTTTTGACAGGAAAGGGAGGGACGATGAAAAAGTCTGCAGCAAATTTTGTTAGATTCCAGGTTAATGCTGTCACTCATCATCATGTAGGCAAAAGCAACAGGCTGTGAATCAATAATGAATTAAGGTGAACTAGAACAGAGTCCCCTAAGGGAAAAGCAGTCCTGTAAATAGCCACAGATTATTCCTTCAGTTCCAAGACAAGGCGAGAATTCAAATAAGCAGGTTACTCTGCCATGTAAACCAGGTATTTCAGGATATATCACAGCTCCATGATTCACAAAAAAAAAAAAAAAAAAAAAAAAAAAGGCATTGCAATGCTAATCACCACCCCCCATAAGGGTGTAACATTTAACTCTCCTGAAGTCGAGGACTTTGAATATCTCGTTCAGTTGCTCAGAAGCACTGAACTGGATTGGTATAGGAAGCTGTTCTCCAAATCTATGGTGCTCACACATAAGGAAAAGAACAGACTGTCACTCACTGCACATGGTGCCAAGAAAATGTCCCCTCCCTGAATGTTCCCATTGTTATCAATGACATTTCAAAGTTCATTGTTATAGAACGATGAGAAGAGGAATGGAAGGCAGCCATCTTCATTTCCTCAAACTCTTAAAAGAGGTGGTTTTCATCCTATAATTGGGAAGACACAGGTGGATTCGCCAGACTCCTGGTCAATATGCAACTTCCCATAGAACAGAAAGGTTCCCTGCTCGGTGTGCTGTCCAGACCATCCAACTTTCCAGGCGATTCTGAATGTTTGATACTGTTACCCACAAGTGTGAAGAGACTGATTGCAAAAACAGTCCCATAATGATTTCACATCTTGTTAACTCTTTTGTAGAGAAATATAACACTGAAATTTTTCCAAGGAAAGATTAGTAAATAGGTAGGTGAGGAGGCATAGTCCTCCACTCTACCTTTGGAATTTCTTATTGACACCTATCAGGGTCTCTGTGTCTCTCTGTCTCTGTTTCTCTGTGTGTGTGTCTCTCTGTGCTTTTTCTCACTGTCATCCATACATTTCCCCTCTCCTTATGCATACCAGGAACAAAGATTGTTTTTGGTTATAATATGACTCTTTGTGGAATGTGTTCTTGATATGTGGTTCCTTTGAGCATGCCAGCTGTTCTGTGGTAAGCCTGTAGCTGAAACAGAATACTCTCAGGCTCAAACACTTTGCATCTTCTGTTGGGGCTTACATTGAATTCCTGACATAGTCTCTCTGACACCCACATCTCCAAGCACCACTGGACCTGTCTAGTCACAAGTGTAAATTCTGCTTGTACGGAATGAGGCTCCACCTTTTAATGGGGAAACTAGTTGAAACTTCATGGAAGACACAGGTAAATGGGGAAGATGGGGGCCTCCAAGTGCCACACTGAAACATTAAGACACAAATGGGTCTGTGTTATATCAAGCTACCTTTCTAAGGTCAGGGATAGAAAGTATCTAATTTATTACCTACATTAGGGGGAGTGTTGTTACAAATCCCCAGTCTTGAGTCTCAAGAGAATTAACTGTGAAAAATGAACACAAACTTGAACATAAGAAAAAATGAACAATTGTTCATGTTTCATCAGTTTCCCTCACAAGAACTGTATTGCCAAAAGGAAAGTGGACATGATTCTTAATTTCAGAAACTCAGAATTATTGGGACTCTGTTGTAAAACTGCCGATATCACAAACTGAATATTATGCCTGAGTACATAAAACTGACATCATTCTAAAGGGAAGCAAGAACATCCTGGCACTTCCATAAAGATGTGCTCTATTGTCTGTCTGTCTATCTATCTATCTATCTATCTATCTATCTATCTATCTATCTATCTATCTCTATCTCTATGCCTATCTATTGATCTATCATCTACCTCCCTACCTATATCTATCATCTATGTATGTATCTACCTATCTACCTGTATATCATCCAAATATGTATGTATGCATGTATGTGTGTGTCTATCTATCATCTACTTGTCTACCTAATCTATTTACTATAATCTATATCTATGTGTCTATATTTTTTATATAATTTATCTATCTCCGTATCTATATTATCTATCTCTATCTTCCATCAACCACATATGCATCTATCTAGATATTATGATGCTCACTAGGGCCAAGTTAGTTTTATTTAATGATAATTAATTAATATTTTTCAAAAATACTCTTAGGAGACAATGAGGGCAGTTGGAATATGAGGAGTACATATCAGTGAACTATTGATATAGTAAAGAGTAAAGATCTGCAAAAGAGTTATCAAATTTGTCCTACAGAGGAAAACTCTTTAGATCTTTTAACTTTTGGCACATGTGACAGATCAGTTCTATTGACTGCTGTTAGGCTACCCTCATTTCTCACAGACTTCTTTCAACTTGCAAATTTATTTTCCATGATGTACTGTATGCTAGAACTATGTTTCTTTCCAAACTGTGAGCTCGTATCAGCTTGATTTTATAAATGTTGTAGACAACTATATTGTGTAGTGGTTGAGGGCACTGGTGACCTCACGAACTACATGGTGACACAATCATGGTGTTGACCTTTTCTATACCCCATACAATGAAGTGCTATATTTAAAAAGTAAAAAGAAGTTTTCCTTATGTGGTCTCTTTTTAGGAATAGCTGGCTAGCTAACTCAGTTTACAGTTTTCTTGCCCTAGGCCTGAGAAATGAATGTTTTTTCCTTCTAAGATGAAGAGGCTTACTTCAATCAAAGCCTCAGCTTCCTTCTAGGTTTCAAGTATTTTAGTTGAAGAGGAGAAAGCCTACAATTGAACTTCTTCTGTGTTAGAGGTTTAGCAATCCTATTGCCAGGATCAAATGAGATAAATGTCTATTTTGAGGTATTAGAAGGAAAGGGGACTGGGTTCATGCCATCACTCTAACATATCTTCTAATGTTAGAAAATTGAGTCCCTTCCCTCTACATTAAGATTTCTAACCACCAAAAGCATTTGCTTGGGGTACTATTTGACCTGAGTTTCCAATCATTTAATAAAGAAACAACCTAAGATAAAATACATCCAAAAGAGGCTCAACCATGTTTGTAACAGCTTTATTTGTAATAGCCAGAAGCTGGAAACAGCCCAGATGCCCCTCAACTGAAGAATGGATGCAGAAATTGTAGTACATCTATACAATGGAATATTACTCAGCAATGAAAAATAAGGAAATCATGAAATTTGCAGGTAAATGGTGGAACCTGGAAAGGATCATTCTGAGTGAGCTGTCCCAGAAGCAGAAAGATGCACACGGTATATAGACATAAATAGACATATAATCTAGGCTAAACCTACTAAAATCTGTACATCTAAAGAAACTAATCAAGAGGGAGGACTCTTGCTAAAATGCTCAATTCCTATCCAGAATGACAAAGAGGATAAACATCAGAAGAGAGAGGAAAGAGGGAACAAGTCAGGAGCCTGCCACAGAGGGCCTCTGAAAGGCTCTGCCCTGCAGATTATCAATGCAGATACTGAGACTTATGAGCAACCTTTGGGCAGAGTGCAGGGAATCTTATGAAAGAAGTGGGAAAGAGTAAGATCTGGAGAGGACAGGAACTCCACAAGGAGAGCAACAGAACCAAAAAATCTGAGCACAGGGGTCTTTCATGAGACTGATACTCCAACCAAGGACTATGCATGGAGATAACCCAAGACCCCTGCACAGATGTAGCCCATGGCAGTTCAGTATCCAAGTGGGTTCCAGTGTAATAGAAACAGAAACTGTCTCTGATGAACTGGTTGGCCTGCTCTTTAATTACCTGCCCCTGAGTGTGAAGCAGT